CATCTGAGATATCTTATGTCTGTATGTGGTACATGTAAGAGATATCTTATTTCTGTGTGTGATACATGAGAGATATCTTATTTCAGTGTGTGATACATCTGAGATATCTTATTTCAGTGTGTGGTACATGTGAGAGATATCTGATTTCTGTATGTGATATATGTGAGAGATATCTGATTTTCTGTGTGTGATACATGTGAGATATCTTAATTCTGTGTGTGATACATGTGAGATATCTTATTTCTGTGTGTGATACATGAGAGATATCTTATTTCTGTGTGTGATACATCTGAGATATCTTATTTCAGTGTGTGATACATGTAAGAGATATCTTATTTCTGTGTGTGTTACATCTGAGCGATATCTTATTTCTGTGTGTGATACATCTGATTTATCTTATTTCTGTGTGAAATACATGTAAGAGATATCTTATTTATGTGTGTGGTACAGGTGAGGTATATCTTATTTCTGTGTGTGATACGTGTGAGAGATATCTTATTTCTGTGTGTGATACATGTGAGAGATATCTGATTTTCTGTGTGTGATACGTGTGAGAGATATCTGATTTTCTGTGTGTGATACATGTGAGAGATATCTGATTTTCTGTGTGGGATACATGTGAGAGATATCTGATTTTCTGTGTGTGATACGTGTGAGAGATATCTGATTTTCTGTGTGTGATACATGTGAGAGATATCTGATTTTCTGTGTGTGATACATGTTAGAGATATCTTAATTCTGTATCTGATACATGTGAGAGATATCTTAATTATGTGTGTGATACATGTGATAGATATCTTATTTCTGTATGTGATACATATGAGAGATATCTTAATTTTGTGTGTGATACATGTGAGATATCTTATTTCTGTATGTGATACATATGAGAGATATCTTATTTCTTTGTGTGATACATGTAAGAGATATTTTAATTCTGTGTGTGATACATATGAGAGATATCTTATTTCTTTGTGTGATTCATGTGAGAGATATTTTAATTCTGTATGTGATACATATGAGAGATATCTTATTTATGTGTGTGATACAAGTGAGAGATATCTTAATTATGTATGTGATACATGTGAGAGATAACTTATTTCTGTGTGTTATTCATGTGAGAGATATCTTGTTTCTGTTTGTGATACATACAAGAGATATCTTAATTATGTGTGTGATACATGTAAGAGATAACTTAATTCTGTATGTGATACATGTGAGAGATTGATTTTCTGTGTGATTCATGTGAGAGATATCTTAATTCTGTATGTGATACATGTGAGAGATATCTTATTTATGTATGTGATACATGCAAGAGATATCTTATTTCTGTGTGTGATACATGTGAGAGATATCTTATTTCTGTGTGTGATACATGTGCGAGATATCTTATTTCTGTGTGTGATACATGTGAGAGATATCTGATTTCTGTGTGTGATACATGCAAGAGATATCTTATTTCTGTGTGTGATACATGCAAGAGATATCTTATTTCTGTGTGTGATACAAGTGAGAGATATCTTATTTTTGTGTGTGATACATGCAAGAGATATCTTATTTCTGTGTGTGATACATGTGAGAGATATCTTAATTTTGTGTGTGATACATGTGAGAGATATCTTATTTCTGTGTGTGATACATGTGAGAGATATCTTAATTCTGTGTGTGATACATGTAAGAGATAACTTATTTCTTTGTGTGATTCATGTGAGAGATATCTTAATTCTGTGTGTGATACATGTGAGAGATATCTTATTTCTTTGTGTGATTCATGTGAGAGATATCTTAATTATGTGTGTGATACATGTAAAGATATCTTATTTCTGTGTGTGATACATGTGAGATATCTTATTTCTTTGTGTGATTCATGTGAGAGATATCTTAATTATGTGTGTGATACATGTGAGAGATATCCTATTTCTGTGTGTGATACATGTAAGAGATATCTTATTTCTGTGTGTGATACATGTGAGAGATATCATATTTATATGTGTGATAAATCTGAGATATCTTAATTATGTGTGTGATACATGTGAGATATATCTTATTTCTGTATGTGATACATGTGAGAAATCTCTTATTTCTTTGTGTGATACCTGTGAGAGATATCTTATTTCTGTGTGTGATACATGTGAGATATATCTTAATTCTGTGTGAGATACATGTTAGAGATATCTTTATTCTGTATGTGATACATGTGAGATATATCTTATTTCTGTGTGAGATACATGTTAGAGATATCTGATTTTCTGCGTGTGAAACATGTGAGAGATTGATTTTCTGTGTGATTCATGTGAGAGATATCTTAATTCTGTACGTGATACATGTGAGAGATATCTTATTTCTGTGTGTGATACATGTGAGAGATATCTTAATTCTGTGTGTGATACATGTGAGAGATATCTTATTTCTGTATGTGATACATGTGAGATGTCTTATGTCTGTGTGATACATGAGAGATATCTTATTTCTGTTTTTGATACATGAGAGATATCTTATTTCTGTTTGTGATACATGAGAGATATCTTATTTCAGTATCACGAGACAGATATCTTATTCGTGTCTGTGATTAATGTGAGAGATACCACTTTTCTAGTTTTAAACATGTGAGAGATATCTGATTTTCTTTGTTTGATAAATATAAGTAAGAAATATTTTCCGAGAGTTGTCATATTTCTGTATCTTATACTCTTCATTATGGTTAATACACTATTCAGGAGGTGGTTAACAAATATACCGACCAATGTGACAAAACAGATTAATAGGAGGTGGTTAACAAATATACCGACCATTGTGACAAAACTGATAAATAGGAGGTGGTTAACAAATATACCGACCAATGTGACAAAACAGATTAATAGGAGGAGGTTAACAAATATACCGACCAATGTGACAATACAGATTAATAGGAGGTGGTTAACAAATATACCGACCAATGTGACAAAACAGATAAATAGGAGGTGGATAACAAATATACCGACCAATGTGACAAAACAGATTAATAGGAGGTGGTTAACAAATATCCCGACCAATGTGACAAAACAGATTATTAGGAAGTGGTTAACAAATATACCGACCAATGTGACAAAACAGATTAATAGGAGGTGGTTAACAAATATACCGACCAATGTGACAAAACAGATTAATAGAAGATACCAACTATGTGTGATGTAAACAAGAAAATCTCAATAAAAGGGAAATATGTCTGAAGTTTAGCTAAATTCAAACCTTTTATCCCTTGGTAGAGATTGCTACGTGTTCATCAGATGGGAGTGATTGATTTATTTTTCTCCTGCAATTTGCTACCATAAAAATATGTTGTAATGATTAATCGAATGCTTCGCGCCATCACCAAGTGTACATGAAATGTGTGCAAAACTTGATTACACTACCCTGATTAAATTGCATATGTGATGACGGGATGATAAAGCTTCAGAATAATAGCACACCAGCTGTCTTTTCCTAGGTATATAGATAAAAGGTTTATCTTTTCTCTAGCACCTGTGATATTTGAGAGAAAAACAATCAGCGTGACGAATCAATAAATAATTAACATTCTAGATAGTTAATAGGGAGTAGTATCAATGATCATTGACCGAGAAATAGCACATTTCTAAGGTAAATATATGATCCTACGATACAGGGTTTATAACTAGGATGACAGACCTTAACTACCAAGTTTATTAGGATAGCTGTATACGCTGTGTCCGTTGTCCAGAACTACAGTATTCATAATATGTGACCGGTGTTGTAAAATACTAGATTGATGAGGAATAAGAATAAAAAAAGTTGGAAATTCCTTCTGTGGAAACCAACATGTAATTCAAAACAATAATCCCACACATTGTGTTTTGAATGCAACACTCACAGAATGTAGATAATGCAAAACGATCTTGACAGCTGAAATCAAATCAGATTATCTGTGCCTTGTTCCAGGTTAGTGCTGTTTGCGTGGCATGTTTCAGAAATGGTGTACACTTTGTAGCATCAACCTATCAAGTCTTTACTTAATAACATTGAAATCATGTTATAGCGTTCTTAGACAGCGATACTTTGCTGTTGGCATTCTTCTTACGAGAAGATGAATAACTGTTTTATTATTCAAATATTCGCAATCCCTTTCATAAAATCTTACCTTGTAAAATAATTAAGAACGGCATTTACTCAGATTTTTATTTTATTTTATTCAAAAGTGGGTACTTGAACATTTTCAATAATTTCATGCTAAATATATCTGTGAAAGTAAAGTTGGCATGGCATTTCATTGAATATAACATATACAATTACACGAAAGTTACATGTATTTTAAGTAACTTATCACAGTATGAGGATCAATATAACACACAAAACACGTTTCAACAAAGTAACATCTTTGGTAAAAATCATGGAATACATAATAAATTCGTTCAATCAATTCACGTATTCATCATTATTAACGGTATATAATCTAGAATAGACGATATGTTAAACTAGGCTCAATATAGACATGTTATGTTACTTGAACCTGTTTAAACCGGAAACCTGTTTATTCCTAATACTGATCACATGGTGTTCACACATTCCACGTGTACATTCATTCAAAAGAAGTTGATTTTCATCCCCTTCTTCTCTGGTTCACATATCGCTTGTATAACAAAAAATGGAGATGATATTTTCATACATGATGGACATAACTTCTGATAAAAATACCCTGTCTGTGTAGGCCAAAGTTGTGTGCAGGCATTCATGTTTATCTTCCGTGCGAAGAGGTACATTATACACATAATTTGGCTTGATTAGACAGTTGCTATTGATAGCCTATGAAGTTTGAAGTGTTGCGAGTATTTCTAAGCGAAATTTAGTTAAAATACTTCTGTATCGTATCTACACAAAACAACTGTCATTACTGGTTTCATCACATTCAATAGACATTCTTCAGAAAACATGGACTAAATTATCTTGCAGGACACACATGGTGGCATTTTGTCCTCTAAAGAGAAACTGGTGGTTGGAAATCGGCCTCCCTCTTCTTCAGAGATACAACGGCAGGTGCGTCAGCTTCCCTCTTTTTCAGAGATACAACTGCAGGTGCGTCGGCTTCCCTCTTCTTCAGAGATACAACGGCAGGTGCATCGGCCTCCCTCTTCTTCAGAGATACAACGGCAGGTGCGTCGGCTTCCCTCTTCTTCAGAGATACAACGGCTGGTGCATCGGCCTCCCTCTTCTTCAGAGATACAACGGCTGGTGCGTCGGCCTCCCTTTTCTTCAGTGACACACCTGCAGGTGCCGTGGAACCTGTAAAATATAGATGATTTTTTCTACTTAATTTTCATTTCCTTATTAAAACAACGAAATATAAGTATAAAAGTGAATTTATTTATTAGTTACCAATATAGAAAATTACTTTGGATCATACTTTTTACAGTTTCATTGCATTTTCATTTATATTTAAAAGTCATTTTTTTAAAACTATTTGTCTGTTGCGTATGTGTCCCTCCACTGTAATTCAGAACAAGCTTAATTTCCTGACAAGATATATATTAATTTATTTTCACTCAATGTTGCATTTGGAAGCAATCAATTTATGATAACAGAAATAAATTCGTTGATAACGAAATGTATGACTTACCAAAAGAGGCTAGACAAATAACAGCAACAATTGAAATCCAAACACACCTCATGTCTGCAAGATAGCTTCTCTGGGAAAAACTGAAACAACAAAAACCTTAAGATATAACTCGTTTGTAAAACATGTAAAACGATATGGATTGATCTGTGCATATACCAACTACATATCATGTTACAACTGTATACATTAGATGACGCAAATGTTTCCCACGTCTTCATTGGCTGAATCATAATAACGTGGAGGTCGACGATTTGTGATATTGACTCGATGCTATTATTTTTAGAAACAGCAGGTTAATATTCGCTTCATGACGTCATTTTTATTGAAAAGTCACAATGCTTTCTGCAAAATTCATTAGTTTCCTCCGTACAATTTCCATAGTTCCATATTTTTAATCAAATAACAATTAAGATAATATTGATCAACTATGGACTATTTCTGTAAATATGTAGTTATATAAACTTGAAAAAGTGATATTGACCTCGACTTCGTCTCGGTGATTATCCACTTTCTCAGGTCTACATGTATATAACTACATAGTGACCTAAAAAGATATCTATAACTTATATATATTATCCAAATTACATGAACGAGAGCGTTTGGAAGAATACAACATATTAAACCCTTTGACCGATAGTACATAGCTTTATTTTATCTACTTCAATAACAAAACTAATACAGATGTTCTTTTTCCCGCCGTCAACAATAATTTCAAAATGCATCATTTTCAGAACAACCGATTGCAACTAAATCTACGTCAATAGTGGCTTAAACATTCATTTTGAAAACTATACTACAGTGTCAACCCATCGTGAAAAATGAAAATTCGTAAAAAAAAAAAGAAATAAATAAAAGGTGCTAATGGCCGATTGATAACTTATATAATTACATGATCTATAAATCAACCATGTCGTCGAGTATTGTATAACGTTACTATAGGGAATCAAATTGAGGATTTTATTTTCATGTTCTATTAACACAATAAATCTATAGGTTGTATGTGGAAATAAATGTTAATTTTACTGGTTTAATATTGTTTTACAAAATATAATGACATCAGAAAACTCTTCCATAAAGTTGATTATATTATTGTAATGTTTTAGCAATTGGGTATGATGACAAACTCCCATATAAACGTGGCTCGTAAACCTTTAGATAGAACAACATGTTTTCTCTAAATAAAGTCACTGTTAAGTGAAAACCTACGACAGAGTCTAGACCTTTAATAATCATCAATTCTCACAATGTATTTATCTATTGATCTGTTTAAGTGTAGTTTAACACAGAAATTATTTAACCGCTAAACTAAAATGGTGTACATAGGCACCTGAATATAGAAAAGAAGTACAGAGAAAAGATTACATTGGGTAATAGTTTTTTTTAATTATAACCTCGCATTAATTGGGAAGTATAAATAAAAGAATTAAAACTGAACATGCTCTTACCTTCAGATTTAGGATGGTTCCCCGTTCTTTTTCGAAATGAGAGTTGCCGGCGTATAACACTAAGAGAGTTGTGCTGTAGACGAGATTATCGCGGGGTTTTATAGAGAAATATTTGGCACCAGATCGTTCTGGTGTGTTCACGTGACGATTTTTATTGTTATCGGTTAATGAACAAAACAACTCATCTCAATTTCTTAGAACTGTTTATGTAAATTTGCAAGATGTTCAGTTTGGAAAATAAATGTATACCAATGACGCTGTCAGTCATCATGCTACCTTCCCCACAAATGACCCGGTATCATACGCTGACCCCAGATGATTGATGGGAGTGTACTAAGGTCGGTCTACGTAATGCACGCAGTAATGGTAAACCCTAACACGACGGCCAATGCTACAGTTATTGTGCTGGCTACTTTACCTTTTTGTAATTTGACATGACAGTATGATAAATGTTTACCTTTCCAATGTCAATGTATTACATCACATTCCAAGAAAAACATTTAAGTATCACCTATCCCTTGATGTACAATTAACTACAGTACATGTTGTCGTGTTATTGTTTGTTTTATTCTCCACTCGAAGTGTCATAAATAATATTCGGTATAACTAAATAAAAACAAAAACAAACAAAAAACAACTATTTACGCAATTTGTTAATACTAATATCACAATATTTATTTCACTTTCTTATAAAGGTTTGTCATTTCATGCGCTCTTCTAAACATGTTATGTGACGTCTCGACCCGCCTAAATACAGGACCTTCTTGTGCCACCTGACTATTACATTTTCAATGGAGAATTGCCAAAAACGTAATATCTTATCTGTATTTATTGTCCCTGTAGGATAGTAGATAATATATTGGTTAAAACTGTCATTGGTTTTCTCAGAAAAATGCTGCACTTCATAGCTGCGGATCGTTTGAGACTAATAATGTATTCTTTTTTAACGTTAACGATATCAATTGTATTTGATAGCAATGCTGTGCAAACTTCTATTTTGCCTTTTTATGTTCTCTCAATGTATACATGTAAGGTTAATTATTATTATTTTGAAAAATTAAAAATTAAAACAAACCTATTTCACATCATTAAATATCAAGTAAACATCGTCTGTCGAAAAACAATTTTGTTTACACCGTATTTTGTCCTTGTTTTTTTTTTATCAAATGGACATGTTTGGACCATAAAGCGAAATAATGACCATGCACAAGGATATAAAGAGGATCAAGCAATAAAACACATTTTATTGCTGTACCTTTATGCACTAATACAACCAATACAAATGTTTGATGATACAGCTTACAATTCGATTGGTTTAAGATTTTGATTTAAGTCCAGGTTAATCCGTTGTGTCATTTTAAGTATACATTGATTGATGCATTTCTCCATGGTAAACCTGGATATACCCAATATATGTGTACTGTTTCATACCAGAGGAACACCACTCGCATTCGTTTTATTTGTTATTTTAGCTCACAATCTAATATATTTGTTTTTTGTCTCTTTTAAATGTCGATATTATTGTTCATGCCATTTATAACTCATATCATAGTTCGGCGTTCGTCGTTTGTCGTCAAATGTCCGCCTGTCACTAAGAGCATACTGTTCCTTAAAAGAACTGTATGGAATTTGGCCTGATTTTGTTTGGAGTACAAATAGGCAAAGCGAACACACGGAGAGTAAGAGGGGCGCTGCCAATTAGGAGAATTTAGTGGGTTTTTTTTTTAATCCTACTCCTTGAGTATTACTGAAGGGATTTTAATCAAAATTGTTCTAAAGTGTCCTGGGTCCAATATAGTTCAATGTTGCATACATGAAGGGTGTGATCCCACTGGAGGAGGGGAGAAGGGGGAGGCCAAATAGTGGACATTTAGATGATTTTGTTAAATCCAATATCTTGAAAAGGAGTGCGTACTATCACCGTAATATCGGGGTTTTTTTTATTGGAAATAGTTTTTTGACGATGACATATCGCGATGTTTCTATCAAATATCGATATTTAAAGCTGTTAAGAGAAAGCAGTAAAAACTTAAAATATGTTGAATGTACCGTAAAATTTTGTTATGTTGTTAATAATAAACAAATAATTATTCGAAGGCATTTTTCTTTTTGTTTTTAAGCTTTTATTGAACTTAAACAAATGTTTTAAAAGTTTGCAATTTATTGCAATAACTGTTGCAATGATTTAAGGAATATTACAATATATTGCAATATCAAAATCTTGGCGATACCCAACCCTAAATTCTATAACATTGGTAAAGGGATTATGATCTAAATTTGTATAATGTACTCTTTGACTAAAAGAGGAACTCAATGTTGTATACATGAAATGTGTTTTTTATAGGGAAAAAGTAATGTAGAACAGGCATTTAATAAATTAATATTTATTTTCAGATAAAGAAGCTTAAGAGTTTACAGTTCTTTACATTGCCGTGGGATGTCAAGTTTTGTGATAAATTCAAAAATGTCATTATTTTCTAAAACATTATACTTGCTCTGGAATCAATACTATACCATGAATAGAATTTAAAGAAAACATGTTAAAAAAATGATGAACGACCTTTACGAGAAACATTTAACTGGACTCATTTTATAAAATGGGTCAAATAAACAGAAAACAACACTGGAGGCTTGGCAACCAGCATACAACAGCTTTTAAGGATGGACCGGTATTTCTTCTTACTGTGTCTGGAAATTTCCATTTCCAGAAAAATAAACACGTCCGCATTTCGTACACGAATCAAATGGGAGGAGTTTTAAGGTGTGTTAACTGTCAGAATCAGAGGTAGTATAATTTATACTACATTCAGTTAACGAGTGTAGTGTTGACGCTTGTGTTTCTCAGTACGGTTTTAGGTCAACTATTATAAACTACCACATAAATAACAAGTGACCTGACAAAGGTGTATTGCTGATTAACTTACCTGGATATGATATCAGCTTACGAAACTCCCCGTCAGTGCGCGTACGTTTGTCGGAGAAAACGTACGTAATTGTATGAATTACGAAACATTTGATAATATTTTCAAAAACATTTGATCATATTTTCAAAAACATTTGATCATATTTTAATACAAGAAATAAATAAAAAGAAAATATCGAGTACCGAATATCGTCTATTGTTTTCATGTGCTTACAGAAGAAAGTTAAATATGATTGCTTTGGATTTTCGTTCGAACCAAACGAGTATATCGGTAAGAACAAATAAAAGAGATACACAAACTTGGTCCATGGTCCAGGGTCCATTTGAAAATCCGAAGGACAATCGATACTTTGCAGTAATAACTTTTCGTTTTTAGTTCAGAAAAAGAATACCAGTGTATTCTTAGCATTCATTTGTCACTTGAAATCTCATTATCAAGTCGACATAATTTAATACATGGTTTTTATATTATTGTCTTTAATCCATTCGTACACATAATAATCCCCAATGATTTCCTGTTCGATATTTGATGCATCAGACAAAGATTAGATGTGAAGAAGTATACATTGTTGTACTTCATTGCTGGACATTCTCCTCTTTGGGGATGAAGAAGTCAAAAGATGCTAGTCGACAAATCCCCCACATTCCCTAGTTTCCGGATCTTTACAAATCAAAGTGACAGAAAGTGTTACCTTTTAACGTAATCATACAGTTGGTTCAGGAAAAAACCTCTGCTGTTTAACGGATAGCCTGGGTGTGAAAAAAATGGGCGATGGTGGTAGACATATCTATGATGTTACTTTAACAAAATAATACAGACATGGTGTATTTGATGTTCTTCTTTTATCCATTTTGTTTAGCTCACCTGGTCCGAAGGACCATGGTGAGCTTTTGCCATACCGCAGCGTCCGTCGTCCGTCGTCCGTCGTCCGTCCGTCAACTTTTCCTTTAAAACGCTACTTGTCCTTAACGGCCAAGTAGATTTTGACTAAATTTGGTCTGGAGCATCCCTAGCCGAAGGGGACTCAATTTTGTATAAAAAGTTAGTTTGGCCCCCCTGGGGGCAGAGGGGAAGGACCAAATAGGGGAAATAGAGCCTAAAACCTTTAAAATCCTTCTTCTACTGTAGGCATTAAGGGATTTTATCCTTATTTACTCTGGATCATCCTTGCGCCAAGGGGACTGATTTTGTATAAACGGTGTGTGTGGCCCCCCTGGGGGAGAATAGCGGGGCTAAATAGAGGAAATAAATGATAAACCTTAAAATTCCTTCTTCTTCCAGAGGGATTAAAGGATTTCATCACAATTTGGTTTGAAGCATCCTTGGCAAAAGGGACTCGTTTTTGTATAAACAGTGAGTGTGGCCCCCCTTGGGGCAGGGGGCGGGGCCAAATAGGGGAAATAGAGTTAAAACCTTTAAAATCCTTCTTTTACCATAGAGATTAATGGATTTTATCCGGATTTAGTCTGGAGCATCCTTGGCCTTGGGCAAAAAGAAATCAATTTTGTATAAACGGTGAGTGTGCCCCCCCCCCCCACTTCCCCTCTTGGGGCAGAGGGGAACATAGCAAATTCATCAAAATTCTTCTTCTGCTGTAGAAATGACAGGATTTTGTCAAAATTTGGTATAAAGGGGAATCAATATTGTATAAACGGCGGCCCCCTCCCCCTCGGGGGCAGAGAGGCGGGCCCAATAAGGGATATAGAGGAATAGCTTTAATATGTTTTTACTTCCATTAGGATGAAGGTATTTGGACCAAATTTGAACAGTAGCATCATATTGGGAAGGGAAAACAATTTTGTATTAATGGTGGGTATGACCCCCTCGGACATGAGAGTTTGGGCCCAATAGGGGTAATTTAGCAAATTCTTTAAAATTCTTCTTCTTCTTCTGAAGGAATGACAGGATTTTTGTCCATATTCGGTCTAAAAAATCCTTGGGTGAAGGGGAACTAATTTTGTATCAACTCCCCTGGGGGCAGAGTGGCCGGGCCCAATAGTGGAAACAAAACAAATTCTTCAAATTCCTCCTTTTCCTATAGGAAAAACAGGATTTTGTTTGATCGCATATAAATATAACCCCTGACTAACCATGTAATACATGTACAGCAACATCTGGCTATTTAAACTTCAATTTTGCCAACATTTCCAGGTGAGCGATACAGGCCCTCTGGGCCCCTTGTTTT